CAAGACACACTTGGAGTTTAATCTGGCAAAGACAGGTAAAGTCTTAGCTGAAAGGTATATCTGTAATAAAAACAAATATAAAAGAAAATTAAATGTTTTTTGTGAAGCCATGTTTATAATGCTGACAGAGTTCTCCATTTAAATTAGGGCTTTTGGTTTTTTCTTGATAAACAATAAAAATAAAAGAACCTTTTAAAAAGAGTTTTATGCTTACAGTGACTGAGAATGTTGAATTTCTAGCCAGGAGAGACTGTATGGTGAAGCACTAACCCTTCAGAAGTGGATTTTAGTGCCAGTGTTGACACAGTGTTATCATGACTACACACCAATACATTATTCCTTTAAGGTAACAGACAGTGTTGAAGCTGTCCTGTAATTTGGCACAGAACACTTGTGTACTAATGCAATATGACAATGTTATTATGTCTGCTATTTTCCATGTCATAATAGCAGTATTTGTTTCCACAAACACACCATTACATTCACTAATAAGGCTGTACTGAAAGACTGCCCGAATAAAAACAGATGCAAACTTATAGAAAGGAGACAATCTCTTATAAATTTGTTTTGCTGTGCCAGAGTAATTTTCAACCCTATTCTTATTTAAAAAAAACATAAAAGAAAAGATGACTTCCCTGGGAGGATACCTTTCACTACATAACCTGCTGTTAGACATGGTTACTATGTTCATGATGTATTTTCCCACTGGACGTGCATCCATTTGTAAGAACAGCCACTAACTATCCTTTTAGTACAGTCTCTTTATGATAGCACTTGTAGGAAAAACCACTACTGCAAGCTTTACATTAATCACTGTAACACTTCTATCTATCACACCTAAAGAACATTGGTGCCCCGAATCTCTAAGTGTCATACTACATGAAAAGAAAAAAATTATTAACCTGATAGCATCTTGGGGTCTAAGCTTGTCCTGCCGTGTTCATCTTCCAGCAGACAGCGCACTGAAAGTTCCCACCTCTGCCACCATGAAGGCTTAGGGTCTACAGGCACTTCATACTCACTGGACTACTGAGATTTGCAGCTTTTTTAGTTGCTGCTCCTGACTACACTTTTAAAACTATAGCCTTACACTTAGCTGACCCAGTTCTTTTTCCGTAGAGGTGCATTCCCTAAATTTCTCCTCCTTCCCTAGCAGACACACAGAGGACACTCTTGGACTAGGAGAGAAAACAATCTGCCTCAAGTGGTGTTCATTATGAGAGGACTTAAAAAAAAAAAAAGTTTTCATTTTAATTTCCACATATTTACCTCCAATAATACACTGAACAGCACAGGAGTAATATGTAGATGTTATCACAAAAATTAAAGAAATATCTTGCACAGTGAAATGTATTATAACACTTTCCATGAAACCAGTTCTTTCATTATTTCCTCCACACCTCCTGTTTTGGGGATTTAAGACGAGAATGATACAAGTGAAACATTTGCACTGTAAAGCCCAGGAACAACGCATGTCAGATCTTCATGCTCTGGGGTTACTATGGGAAATGCACAGAAAGCATCAGCTCAAATGCAGCAAGGTAATTTGTGGCACATTTATGCAAATTGCAAATGATAGGAAGCAGGGAGGAGTGGTTGATCAACCAGATGCGTGTGCTTCCGATCAGAGGGATGCCGACAAACTGGAGAAATGCATTGACAAGAACCTCCTAAAGAATGCCAAATCCCGCACCTGGGGAGGAATAAACCCTCACATCAGGACGAGCTAGGGCTTGACCAGCTGGATAGCAGCTTGGCAGAGAGAGATCTGGGCATCCTGATACTCAGCAAGTTGCACATGGGTCAGCAATGTGATCTTGTGGCAAAAAAAAAAAAGCCCAACTCTGGTTGCTGGTGGTAAAATGTCGCAGAATGGTTGAGAGATGTGAGAGATGGTGGTAAAATGTTGCAGAAAGGTTGAGAGATGTGATTCTTCCACTCTACTCAGCGCTGCTGAGATTCATCTGGAGCACTGCTCCCACATGCTGGGCTCCCCAGTGCAAGAACAATGTGAGAACACAGGAATAAACTTGGTTTACCCAGCAAAGGGCCACAAAGGCCATCAAGGGCTCTCTTCTACAAAGAGAGGGTGAGGAAGCAGGGGCTGCGCAGGCAGAAGAGAAGGCTCAGTGGGGATCCATCAACATCATGAAATAACTGATGGATGTGAGGTAAAAAAAGACAGATTTTTTTTTTTCTAGTGGTGCCCAGTGACAGAACAAGAGGCAATAGGCTCAAACAGAAATATATGAAATATAATTTAAACTTTAGGAAAATATTTGCACTGTGAGGGTGAATGAGCACTGTGACAGGTTTCCCAGACTGGTTATGGAGCCTTCATCTTTGTAGAGGACCCAGATAATCTGTGCAATCTGACTCTGCTGGGAACAGAAGGATTGGACAGCTCCTCTCTCACCTTGGCAACAGTATCACTGAAATTTCTAATTAGATATGTCACCTAAGAACTCGTGGAGCAAAACAGAGGTGAGGTGTGATGGGTTAAATCCTGGCTGAGAGCAAAACCCATCTGAACACCCACTCCCTATTCTCTGTTGTTTTGTTCCCTCCTCCTTCATCTGTCCAGCATTTTGGCGAGAATGGCACACTTTCTAACTGTGTTTTCATAGAGATACCATCACCCTGAGTAAGTACTTCTGTTTCTCTTATTACCACTGACACTTAAGTGGTCAATTGCTGGGGTTTGAGACTAAAAAAAATCTGTCTATGAGATTTCGATGTCTTAAGCCTTCTATTTTGTATAAAACAGTATATTCACTTGTAAAGTGAGCCAAGGGCCTGCCTGAGTAGCAACAATGGGTTAAATTTGAGCTTCTGTCAACCAGTGTTGCTCCACGCACAATCTGCAATGGAAAGATGCTCAGGAAGGTGCCTACATCCTTCCTGAAGGGGATGCATTTTCAGCAACAAGCAGCTGCTATTCCAGACCTGTCGCTGGAAGGTTTCCTCACATGAAGGGAATTTGTCTTATTTCAGTGCCACGAAGTTTAGTCTGTGGCGTGCAGACTGGGCCACTTTTCAAAAGCTGTAGTAATATTTCGTCATTTCTCATCCCATTATGCTCTTCCCAAACACAGCAGAGAGCAGGTTCAGAGCATGCAGATGACACTGACAATATCATTTTTTCCTCCATTCTGGCACATTTACCGCTACAAAAATTCTCTTTTATTAGATGGGCTTTGAAGATTTCTTTTTGGTATCTGAACTAATCTAAGGAGCCAAGAAAGAGCAGAAACAAAATATATTTGCTAGACTCTGCATTATATTCCAAAACATCTGTATTGAGGATAAATTTATATTTCATGCTTGTGATTAAAAAAACCCCAAAACAACAACAACAAAAAACAGTTTAAAAGATTTTTTTTCCTGGGAATAAAGTAAGTATTTTTAGCAACCAGCTTCTAAAAGGACTCCTTTACCATCATCAGATGTGGCATATTGTGAAATATCTCATTTGTGTGCAATTGTGTGTAATCCATGATGTTACTGTATAAATGAGCATTCACAGGTAAATATCTTTCTTAAATAAGCTCATCAATTTGCCAAATTTATGCATTCACTGTCACTTGAAGAAATAATCAGTAGAATATTCCAGGTCCACACAACAATTACTACTAAAAGTTATAAACTGAGTTTCTCCTTTGCTAGATGTTATATCTGCAACCTTCTATTCACAGGTTTTAGTTACTTCTGAAACAACTCAAATGATCACAAAACAGAAATAACGTAAAAGCAAAACAGAAACACTTTTCTCTTGTAGTAAGTACTGGGATGAAACTTAAAAAACTTATGTTTAGCAATATGACTAATCATGTACATTGCTGAGAAGTGCAAACTCAAATATATATAAAGTAAACCCAAACTTTTGCTCAAATCATTGAAAGTTTTTCAATACCACATTTCATTTCTACCATAAGAGCAACTGCAGAGAAACAGAATGAGTCCTTTCATCCTTTCTCTAATTTTCAAACTACAGAACTTTCGTGGGAATAAATTATTAGCTTTTGCACACAATTAATTTTCTAGCCCTGTGATGAACACAGTTTGAGCAAACAGCTTTTCAAATTTTAAATATTCTGCTGGTTTTGGGTCTGTCAAGATGGCATGCCTTGCTTTAGAGTGGAGAACCAGAACAAGACAGAAAAATACAGAATACTTGACTAGGTAGTTATACAACACTTCCTGTTATCTGCAATTTTTTAAAGATAAATGTATGCAAATAGAAATAAAAATGCTTTAAAGAAATTCAATCTTCTTATGGGTATAAAAATGTGCAACATTTGGATATTACAAATGTGATAAATCAAACCAAAAGTCAGCAGCTTACTTTTATCATTTACCATGGAACATTATGGCTCTCCATTATTATTCCACCATTACTCCTGCATAATTCTATTTAGATCAATAAGGTTAGGTTGGAATAAAACTACATTATGAAGCTGGTGAATCAGGACCCTTATTTTTGACACATTTAAGCTTTTCCTGGAAGACCAGATGGTTGCTGCGTGTTTTTCAGATGAAATCTAAAAGAACTAAAATACTCAGCATGCTTTTATTATTGGCATATTTAGTGTGTCACCTAAAGAAATCCACAAAGGGAGATAATAAGCCTTCTCAACTGTTTCACAGTAATTATAGCCCTTGTGATGGTGCTACATTAAGATAACAAAATGTAAAACGTGTTTTCAATCAGGAAAAAAATCCATTTGAAATATGTAGGCAGGAAAGGGACTGCATCAAACAGGTAACAGGTATATTGGACTTGGGATCAAGTGCAACAAAACCAAGTTCTACCTGTGTTTGATGCTGCACATTTTCCAAAATTTATAAAGCATATTGTTTGTTCTTACCACAAGCCTTACAGATTTTCACAGGGTTGACCAGCCCAGTTAAATATCTAATATTAAAACAACATAAAGCTTTAGGCACTTGCTTCAAACATTACTTCAGGTTTTCAGAGGGACATTTTTCCATGTACTTACGGTCATTGCATAACGGTCCACTAAAGGAGGTCATGCTGCAGTCACAGCTGAACCCGTCCCACTGCTGGAGGCACACGCCCTGGTTGGCACAGGAATCCTCTTGGCACGTTGTGCTGGGGCCTAATGAGAACACACAAAAAAGGACTTGCACTTCGTCTCCCAAAGAAAGGTACTTCCCAGTGGGCCACACTGAGTAGTTGCCAACATCTCAAATCAAATGAGCAAAGAGTTACCAAGTCAAACGCACATAAACTCACTGGTTTTGGAGCAGCATGTAACATTAAAAGTGGGGGGGGTTTGCTTTAGTTGGAAGATCACTATGTCAGACACATAAGATTGCACAAAACAGAAGCAGAATTATTCCGGGTACAGTGGGAATGTTAACTTTGTTGTCAGTTATTTGTTAGCCCCGTGTCAGACAATTAACTGGCTAAAAGTTGTCTAAAAACTTCATTATTTCTTCCTGTAAATACATTTCAAACAGCAAAGCCGGATGCCACAGGAATCAAAACTCTGGGATATGAAAGACTGGATAATGAAATAGAAAAATGAAGCAAGTTTTAAGAAATAATAAAATGAAGCTACACTATTACAATTTTATTAATTACATTATATTAATCCCACGATTATATTAATCCCACAAATTATTTGAAATTATTTAGATCTGAAATTCAAAGCAGTTTGGGATTCTTTGGCTGGAATGCTGACAAGAACTGATTCACATGCTTTGGAGATCCCATGCAGGTTCCTTCTAAAAGGGGAAATGCAGAAAATCAGACTACTAATGACCTGGCATGCCAAAATGTGACATACACATGAAAAAACAAAGCTACTCTATTTCTAGAGAATCATAACTAGACTACTGAAATATAAAGAAATTTCAAAAAGGAATGATCAAAGCACTAAAGCAATCACTATACAAACATATTCAAGACTGAAAGCCTTTATGCAAGCAATGCTGGAAAATGAAGGTTCATTTAGCCCATTGTTTTAGAGGTGTGAAAGGCAAAATCAGCAACGAAATAACACACTTTAGTTCTGAAATGTACAGAGCATTTATTGCAGAAATCCAACTGTGCATTGGGGGTTTCAGTCTTGTTTAATACACACAGGGCTATCTACCTTGCAAATCAGCTTTCATCAATGCAACTTTGTCAGCAAAATAAAAAAAAAGCAAAATATAGTAAATGTTAGTAAGCAATATTGAAATGGCAGCAAACACAGAAAAAAACCATTCAGAATAAAGTGCATGCTGCTGTTAAAGAGAGAAAGAAATGCCATATAATGCAAACAAATTAACGCTAATAGCCATAAATCTTCAGGCAAGCCAAAATAAGAAAGCAGTAATTTGCCAGTATTTTACTAGAAATATAATGGTTAATTGAGCTGATGACATGTAATGGAGGAAAATTAAAAGTGTGGGGTTTTTTCTTCCTTGGATAGTTATGAATGCATTAACAGAGTAAATGCATGGCTGAATCCTGACTAGCCCTTTGTCATGTTCAGATACAGTGAATTCAAGAATAATTAGCACCATCATCCTCTGTGGTCTGCCTTTTTCTAGCCTCTCTCTCTGCCTGGTGAATGAAGACTGAAATACAGACCATGAACCACAGTTTACTATGAGCTCTCACACACATTTCACACTACAAGGAAAAATTTGGTTCTGGCATTATAAAATTGTCCCAAATTGTTTTGGGGGAGGCACATCAATATCTGTCTGAAATTCCCACAGACAGTCATTGATGATAAAGGGGCAAAGCTGGTCCAAAGATTACATAAATAAATTAAAAATCACATCCCAGAGAGAAATCCTTGTAACCCTTCTTTTCCATTAGACCTTCAAATATCTCAGTGTGTGATTTTCTTTTGATCTTCTGGTATTTTAAAGAAATCCATATCAATATGATTTAAGTCAGCTCCATGGCCTCTTCCTTTAAATGAGGCACAGCTCAATCTCTGAAGCAGGGCCTGAACAGTCATCAAAGTCACTGAGAGGGAGGGCAGGGTACGCTGCATCCCTGTCTTAGAAAAATTATTACTTCATCTATTTTCTCCCTTTAGGATAATAATAATAATAATAATAATAATAATAATAATAATAATGCACTACCATCTATAGCTGACTGCAGCAGGCAAATCACTGTAGAAATCACTATAGATAGTGATTTCTTTTTCTTTGGAGTTCTGAGCCCAGAAGTTTAGACATTTGGGCATTACATCACCCTTTCTTGAGCAGAGGATTATAATGACAGAATCCTGCAGCTGACAAGACACAATTTTTCTCACCAGATTCTGCTACTCGGAAACTTTACAAAGCTGAAGTGAAAATATCTGTAGGTGTTTAAATGTTATATATTCATGGATTTATTTACACTTTAGTTATGCAATGTTGAATTTCCTCATCTTTGCAAAAGTAGAGCAGAAGTCACAAGGACTTGAAAGTACATAAACTGCAGGACCCTGTAGGCACATTAGGAAGTCCATGTGAAAACACATATTTAGAAAAAAATATAGATAGAATCTTGCTAAAAAAGTGAGGGTTTTTTTTTTAATTATAATTAAATTGATTCTTAGCACTCTTGGCTTATCTATATTAGTCATTATTCTAAAATTGCCATCAAGACTAGCTTGCATATAAGCATTTCTTTTAGCAAAAGTGGGATTATTTTTTTCCCTAAAGAACAGAAGACAACTGTTTAATGGTGGTAAATACTATGATATTTACCCTAACAAGTTAATATTTTCCTATATATACATTTATTTATTGAACTACTAAGGTAGTTATTAAAAATACTGTAACACACCCTTCTCTAGCACTTTTTCTTTGTTCATATTCAATTTTTTAAATATTCTAATTTATTCAGTCTTCACTGCAGACTTTTTAATTGCCTGAGTTTGTGATCTCCTTTACATTTGTCCTATGTGAGGGCTTGCATGCAATATATATCACAATAAGCATTATAAACTGACACATAGATGTTTTACAATATATTATTAAAACAAATTTCTTATCTTACCACCAAGAATCCTCATGTATGTTAATACTGTGATTTTTTTCATGTAGTTCATATAAGATAGAAATCGCATTTTACATGCACATATACACACAGTGTATTTTTCTCATAACGAGATAAAAACTATGATTGTACCATACTTTAAGTGGGAAAAGGAAGTACAATTGATTTGACTGCAGGAAAACTGTGTTGACACAACCTGGCTTTGGGGTTTGCCATTAACAATTCAAAGAGCTAGTTAGCATATTTATCTTTCTAGCTGTTAGCTTCTATCTGTTCTAGTCATTGAAAATTTGTCAAGAAGGTGGATTTTGCCAAGTATAAATTATGTTTCATGTTCAATGATAGAGATATCTCTCTCTGTGGTTGCAGCTTCAAAAGGCAAACCTTCCAATTTGCCACAGTAATCCCATGAGTGGTTTGGCTCAAAATGTTTAACATACTTATGGCCATCAGATTATTGAGAAAAAGAAATATTTTAAGTACAAAATCTAACAGATAATTAATTAGAAGTACATTATGGCTTCAGAGTTTGACAGTTTGACAGAAGAGAGAAAAAGATTTGTTGGGTTTTTTTTTTTTTTTTGGTTTTTTTTTTTATGTACCTGAAATTTGGGGAATTCAATCCCATAAATCTGAAAAACAACAAATCCAAGTGCCTCACTTCTCAGGACAGATTTTGCAGAACCTGATGTCTTAACACTGGGTATATACCAGTTGTCTTTGGGATTGAGAGTGGTGGTGACTAACACTTCTGAAATTACTTCTGCTGCCATGTCCTGAGCTCTTTTGACCCGATGTCTCAGAGGACTTCCAGGGCAGGTGGGATTGGACTTCCAGGGCAGGTGGTATTGGTGCACAACTCTCAGCTCTGCAAGGATGGAGACATCCTGGCTGGACACAGCAGCAGAGGCAGGAGCAGCTTGAGGCATGCAAGGGTTTCCTAGGAGGCACCTGAATTCACAAGTGATCTGAATCATATTTTAGGTGGCAGAACAATTTTTTGGAAATCTGAATCCATGGTCTGCAAACAAAAGACTGACAGTTGTGTCAGACATGAAGACTTGAAGCAAACAAGTGAGATGGAAGAGATAACTTGCAATAAAGGTTGGAAGGGGATATTTCATTCCATGCTGTTAAAGATTTCCTTCTGCAGGCAGAAAACTTTTGAGGGGACAGTTCTCTGGGAGCCAGGCAGCACATCTGGTTTGACCAGGTTCTTGTGTCAGGTGATTTTGGTGTTGGAAAAAACTCATCCTCTACCAAAAAGGATGACAGTTTTATGGCCTTTGTTAAATTGTTGGTAGCTTTATTAAATCCGCTGATAGCTGAGTTGTGCCAGTGGTTTAAAAGGTGAACTCACACACCAGGCCCGTGGCATTATTTCTTTGAAGTACAGAAAATTCATTTAGGAAATTACATAATTTCAAAAGAAGCTATGAAATGCATAATGGAATTAAGACTTTGACTGTCTGGAGGGATGGTGCAGGGATGGAATTGCTAAAACCATTCAAAAAGCAGAATCTAATTTTCTAAACTCAGTGGCAAACTAATACATATTTTTGTACTCCTGAAAGACATATGCAAAATTCCCATCTTCTATTTTTCTATAGCTTTAGAGTCTGTTTCTATGTATTAACAATAAAACTTATATTGCTAACTAAAAGTAACAGGTAAATAACAAAAATGTTGCACATGTCCAAATGCACTGTAGGCACAACAAAAGAGGAGACAGACTTCATCCACCAGGAAGGTTTATCTCCTAAAACTTGAGACACCCCCCAGCTTTCCTTGGATTTTTACAATGTCAATTTGCTTACTTAACAAACTTGATATCAAAATCATTAAGATTCTAACTTGAAATAGATTTTATAATGTCATTTACACATTTTTCTGTCCAGAGAAGAATGGCACTTGAGAGAAGGGAGAACACATAAAATTGAATATAAACACAAAATCCAGAATAAATTAGATATGCAGGGACAGAAAATGTATTCAAATTATTCCATAAACCATAGTAAAAATAACGTGGGATCAAATGACAGCTGGAAAAATAGCTGGAGATTGACATTCCTGAATTAGAAATACACTTCTTCTAATTCTGTCCTCACTTAAATTTCATGATATACCAGATGAGTCAATAAGGAAATAATATTGTGAGATAAAACATATTTGTCTGCTACTGATTTCAGATAGAAAGGTTCATGTCAATACTAATCTAAGGGGTGAGCAAAAATAGAGAAGATAGAAGATTGGTATTAAAAAGTTTCATAAATTAGCCTTGAATTAACCAACTCAAAATGTCTGCTTTAAAATTTGAATTACTTAGCTAAGGTCTCAGCATTAACTAATGCCTGAGTGTTATGAAGATATAAAGAACTTCATTGAAGCTAATTGTTACTGTTGTTATCATTAATTAAAATACATCAGTAGTAAACAAAACACATGCAAAAAAAAAATCATGCTGCTGGGAAGTAAGGAACCTACATTTAACATTCTGAAGTTAACTCACATTCTCAGATTAATCTCTGTGCTTTAGGGCAGGCATATGCCTGTCTCCATAATACTAAAAAACACAGCCTTTATGTAAGAAGGGGTGAAGCAAGATCAATTAGAAGCAGGTAAAATATAGTCTCTTGAAATATGGAGTGTAAATATCAAAAAAGCCCTGCAGGATTGGCACAGTGCTTTCACTATGATATATATATATATATGTATAAAAAAGCCAAAAAACAACAAAACCAGCATATTTAATACCTTCACATCCTCTTTCTATTTGTCCATTGCAGAAGAGAGCATCTGAGATGAGGTCAGGGAGGCGTCCGTTCAAGTCAACTGATGCAAGGCAGCCTTGGAATCCCTCCTTCGCATGCACCAGCTTGGGCAAGGATTTAAACATTTCTTTGGCCACTCCTCCAATATACAAATCACCTGGTGAGGAGAAATAAATATTAGATACAAAAAAACAACCAGAAGAAACTTTGACCCACTTGATCTTCTGGCCTTTTTGGGCTGAATGACAGATATGTCAAAAAATATTCTTTGAAATAAATGTAGAAGAAAGCAAACACTGATAACATGCAAAATACTACAGCATTTCAGGACTGTATTTTTTCAAATGTAAATGTAGACTTCATTTTTGTATGGTTTTTGTAGACTTCAAATTTGTATGGCTGATTACTTAGAAGTACTTGGGGAAGCTTTCCATGTGCCAGCTCACGTGCTCAGGAAACATGCATCTATTGCAGAGAGAAGGATTAAATCACAGAATCCCCATCTAGAAACTCATCTAGCACTGGCACAATTGTTCATATGATTGATATGCAATTTGTTCACGTAATTGTTTAATATTCAGGGAGGCTGGCCACAGACCATGCCATTGATGGACACAGCACAGTGAGACAAAAGGCAACAGGATCCACCTGAAGTCCATGTATCCGGAATCATCCATTCAGAAGTACACCAAGAAATAAAAGACTGAGAGACACATGAAAGGAGAAACTTAGAGATACCATTGTTAAACAGCAAAATGACCAACTATTCCCACTGAAAGTCATGTGGGAGCAAGGGGAGTTAGATGCCTTTAAAACAGAAATATAAACACTGAGCAAATGGAATTTTGCTGCCAAAAATGATTATAATGGCAGATACCTATAACAAACAGCTTGCTCTGATGAACCTCAGGCAACTTACTCAGGACTGAAAACCAGGGCTTTTTCCCTTCAAGTAATTCCTAGCTCCGTGATAGACTCGCTTTGAAAGCACATAACTCTAACTTTCCTCTACAACACCGAGGGAAGGATGCTTTTATATTTTAAACCAATTCAGGCTCTACATTTCTTTCATGTTTTGGGTGTGTCTGGCAGACAGAACAGTCACCTTTCAATCCAACATAACCACAAGAACCTCCCTAAGTATGCCTCAAGTGTCAGGCTGCAGGTTTAACCAGGCATTAAATCCTCACTGATGAAGTATTTGTTTTTTGCCAGCACAAATTTGCAGCAGTTTATCTGAATATACATTCTAATCTACATTGTCTTCCAGAGCAACCCCCAGTCTGGCTGATTTTGGAGCCTAGACCACAAGACCAGGTGCTCCAGCACCAAAGAGTGTTTCCTCATGACCTCAAATGCAAAAGTGTTGATTTCCTAAGTGATTGCTGAGCTTTGTAGGCAGGTTTTACAGTGACAGAACTCAGAATGTACTGTTGTCACTACCGCATGTGGCTAGATTTAATCTCCCTCTGATTGGTGTAAATCACAGGTACACCTTTTGCTGGTTCTCCTGGCATATTTCTTGTTTGAAAGGGACTGCAATTTAGTGCTGTTTGTAATGGTTCACAGTTTACCTGTGAGGAAATAATCTGAAAGAAATAGATATCTGTAAGACTGAGAAAAATCTTTAGTCACCACATATCATCCCTAAAATTCAACTGCATTTGAATTACTGAGATGAAGAGAAAATGGAATATGCTTAGGAAAATGCTTATTAACATATAGAATTTATAAGCAAACCAGCCTAAATTCTTATCAACCTTTGTAGCATCATATATTAAGACACCTCAAACTTTATCAATTCTATGTAGATAATTTGGAAAATAAGATCTTGCTTTCCTCTAGAGCTCTGAGGTACAATGTAAATCTCACTAGCATGAGATTAAACAACAGATCAAAATATGGTGATCCATCTGTTCCCACAAATGGGATCTAATTCATTCACACCAGAAAGATTCCTGTATTTTTCAATCTGCTGAACTGAAAACAGAGTTAAAACCTTTGTGCAATGATAAAGGTTCCTCATCTTTTTCTCAGATGGAACACCTAGAAAGCAAAACCTTTCCAGGTTCCCTGAAGTTTTGTGCCTTCAGTCACTGCCAGCTCAGAATAGAGAGATAATTCATCTCAAGTGATCCAAATAGACTTAAGAGAGGGAAACCATTCCATAGAATAGTGTTAAGAAAATCACTTCTATGATAAAAAAGTTAAATTTGATCTATTGCACATGACACGTATAACCTCTTTTTAAAAATATACTGTTCAAGCAACCCCTTTTATTCTGTGATTAGTTACATCTTTAAAACCACAACCTTTCAGACTGATCCCCTGCTAATACCTGATATCCATCTCTCAAACCTGTTGAGATTGCTATATACAGTCATGCAGTAGCTGCCAGTTATGATGGATGGCTAGCAGAAATCCAGGTCAGTGTGCCAACATATAAGCTGGAACTCAGAATATTTTCTCCTGAAAATATACATTGGAACATTGCCAAATAGGTATCATATGCAGTGAAGTACAATATATTCAGTCTAAATAAGCTGCATCCCTACAGCTTACTTACAGTACCTTAAGAGTATTGATGATTAGACTGATCATTTTATACTATTAAAGACACAATTACAAATACATGTTCTGGGTAATATTTTAATTTTGTTGATGTTCAAAATAACTTTGAGTTCTGCTTTTCAAAATCAAATGTGTATGTATGGAACAGCCATACTGACTATTAGACTTCACCTTTTATGAAGTATATAAAAGTATTTTTATGACTATGAGGTAATCTTCCCAGATTTAATATCAAATGTTTAATACCATATGTGTTTGGAGTTTGCTGCTGCTGGCATGAAAAGCACTTTCTCTCAGACACAAAATTTTGCTAAGGGATAAGCTCTGGAATTTAAACTCAGATTTTTATTTTTGTTTTAAAATTAGTTAATTTTTTCACTTGGTAATTTTTCTTATCTGCCATCACAAAATGTTTGCATTGTTACTTTTATTCCAGTTGATCACATGCTACTTTCATGTTCATCTCAGTGAAGAAGTAGTTTCCAACAAAACTCCATCCATTAGACTTTCATACAAGACAGGATTGCAGAAAATATTGTTAATTAAATTTTACCTCAAACATATGATGGCAGATATTCAGAAAAGATAAAAGATTTTCCCTCTTCCAACTAAAAGAGATCAGAGGAATCAACATAGTGCAATACAAATTCCCAGGTTTTCACTTTCCCACGTCTTATGTAAGTACAGTTTCACTACTGGAAATTTTAGTCCAGAGCAAATCCCTTGTTGTGTAGCTGCCTACTTACAGGTGTGAATTACATGCAAGTTATTTCATGAAGTAAGGTACCACAGCTCATCAGATCAATAGTACAAGCTTATGACACCGTGTAAACTGGCTGGAGCCTAAATGCAACACTAATGCTACACTGCTACCCACTGAAAATGTGTAACCATAGTTTCTGGAACTAAAGTTCAGCTGCTGCCTTCCTTGTACACGTTGTCTTCTAAAGTTCAGCTTGATTTTTAAATGTGTTCCTGAAAATGTCTAATTTTTCTCATATTAATCCTAATTTGCTTTAATTTATAAAGGAAAAAAAACAAATTTATGTAAAATATCTGCCAAGTGTCATAGGCAAAGTTTCAGGTAGTAAAGAAAGAGGTCAGGTAATAGAGTGACCCAAGATTTCCTTCTTATCACTAGAAAAGCTTCAAATAAAGCAGCTTACGTGAGAGCAGATCTCACAACACTCCTCTTTTTTCTTGTATTTAGAGGGTGGTTTTTTTTTTTTTTTTTTTTTTTTTTTTTTTTTTTTTTTTTTGAGGAAAAAAAAAAAAAGAGAAAAAAGTGCTTCAGGCGTGTTCTCACTGGCACATTCATGGCAGGGCAGAGGAATCAGGTGGAAGGCAGCGCTTTCAGAGCCAGACCTGCTCATGGCAATGTTGGTACTGCTCAGTTATGCCATAAGCACTCCTAAAGAGAAGATTTTAGTGGGTTTAATCTGCATCTTTTACAGGTACTGCAGATCATCAGGTATTCCAACAGGATCTTTCCTATTTACACCTATTAATCACTTTTCTGACTTAGAGCTGATTTGTGCTTTAATAACAAGTAAATTTAACACAGAAACAAATTGCTGGCTAATAAATTAACCCGAGTTCTCAATGTATTCATTATTGGAATCACACTTATGCAAAAGCACACAGAACACCACACAACAGTGAGTCACGCACAACTGTTGGTAAAACAAATGCCAAGTCCTCCTGTAATAGCTCATCTTTTTTTATCCCAAGCCTCTGCGTTTCTTCAAAATAAGAACTTTGCAAATGCTAAACCAAAGAAATGTAAAACAAAGATTGAAGATGCTGTTCTATTTTCTGACTGACTAACAGAAGTTATTAAGAGTTATTATCTGGCACTAGTGGCATTGCTGACAGGTCACTTCACAGACTTTTCTCCTTATCTCCATTCCTGAGAATTCTTGCATGATATATGCTGGTGGGCAAAAACTATTAACTTCATTTAACAGCTACCATTGTCTTCAAACATAAGTAGAGAGGGAATTGTTTTCCATGTGTTTATGATGGTAACAACATAAGAACGCTGCTCAGGTGTGACTGGTGCACCTGGACCCTTAACATACCAGCAGCAGTTTGGTACACAAAATTTGTGACATCAGGCAACAAGTAATTTAGCCAGGATATAGTTAGACTTCTTTACTCTCCTAAATCAGTGTGCTTTGTGTGCATATCTGGTGTTCATTTCTCGAACACCTTTGCTGACAAGAAAGGAAAGAAAGGAAACCATTCATTCAAATATGGCCCCATGTATGAGTAAAAAAAAAATAAAAAAAAAGGAGGAAATACAACAGTGGAAGTAACTGTGGCTTTAATTTTTCTTAATGCATAAAGACACTATCTCTGGAATATTTTTATATGCCTGAACAAAAGCATCTTCAAATCCATAATTCTCTCCAAGAGCAGACATTCTCTCCCTCAATCTCTTGTTGTGCTGCTGGCTTTAAAAGTATTTTCAGCTATTCTCCTAATTGCTCTTTCCTTTTGGAAGAAGTTGTTTTGTCATGTTTCTAACGTCACACTGTACTAAATCACTACCATGGCTAGGATTGAGAGTGCTTCTGTGGTATA